GGGGCTGGCAGGCAGAGAGAATAAATAGAAGGAGAAATCTGGGAGTAAGAGGAAGAAGTATCCAAATGAGGACGAAAGAGGCCAGTCACCCAGCTGCACACCCAGCAACAGAATAAGAAAGAAAGATATACAGAAATAGAAAAAGGTAAAAGCCCAGAGACAAAAGACAGACAGGATAATTTTAAGTTAAGGAAAGCTGGCTAGAAATAAGCCAACCTAAGGCTGGGCATTCATACTTAATAATAACTGTCTGTGTGTGATTTAGTTGGGAGCTGGGTGGCGGGCCCCCCAAAAGAGTGAAAACAACAGAAGGGAGCCTCTGTGTCCTCGACTGTGCAGGACCCAAGTCGTCCAACTTAGGAGAAAAGTTGCCTGCCACTCATCAGTTAAAGTTCTGAGATCTGGGCTTTTGAACCAAACTCTAACTCTAGGTTTAAGCTCTAACTCTAGGTTAGAGCTTAAAATTTTCTCCTCCTTGAGCTTGACTGAGAATGGAATATCAACACCAGGAGCTCACTGTGGTCTGAAGGGTGTGTTTTCCCAAATTCCCACATTGAAACGAACCCCTAGTGTAACAGTCCTAAGATGTGGAGCCACTGGAGATGATTAAGTCATGAGAGCAGAGTCTTCACAAATGGCTTTAGTGCCTCTCCCAACCAACCCTCTTTGTGGTGTTATTGCTGGGATGCTACACCCTGGAGGATTTCTAAAGAGAAAATTCATAGATCTGGAGGCTGAGAAGTTCAGTGTCAGGGTATCAGCATGTGATGAGGGCTGTCCTGCTGTTTTTTTCCCCCATGTTGAAAAACAGAGTGGGAGCTGGGCGGTGGTGGCGCACGCCTTTAATTCCAGCACTTGGGAGGCAGAGGCAGGCGGATCTCTGTGAGTTCGAGGCCAGCCTGGACTACCAAGTGAGTTCCAGGAAAAGGCGCAAAGCTACACAGAGAAACCCTGTCTCGAAAAACAAAAAACAAAAAACAACAACAAAAAAAAAAGAAAAAAAAATAGAAAAACAGAGTGGGAAGAGAAGGCAAGAGAAAGCAAGAAGTGTGTAAGCATGATTGTGAGTTTACCATGTGGTGGCTGAGAATTGAATCAGGACCTCTGGAGGAGCATCCAGTGCTCTTAACTGCTGAGCCATCTCTCCAGCCCCTGCGAGCAAGTTTGTAACATCCCCCTTGTGATGACCAAATCACTCCCATGATAATGACATTGACCCAGTGAAGGCAGAGCAATTATGACCTATTCACCTCTTGTAACGCTCTACTTCCCAACAGTGTCTCCCTGGGGAGCAAACCATAGTGCTCTTAAAAAATATATTCAGTGAAGTTCATTTGTACCTAAGATTCTTATAATTTTTAGAAAATTGAAAAAGGGGGCTTTGTTACTATGTGAAAATACTTTAGGGAACCTTAAGGGAAGTTTCTCTTTAACAGTAGTTATTATTGTATTAATCACATTTGTATCTTGGCCATTTCATACATGTACATGATACACAGTGACCACCCTCCCCAACCCTCTCCCATCTCCCTGATAACACCATATGATCCCCACATCACCACAGGTTTCTTTCTTATGTTCTTGTCTATTAATTTTGTGTTGTGACCCACTGAGTTTAACCAGGGCCCTCTGTGTGACTCTGGGTTTGGAGTTATCTGTTGGAGTCTGGTGAGCTCAGCAGTAGGTACATAACTGAAGACAATACTCCACCTCTCCCACGCTCCATTAGTAGCCATTTGTTCAGAAGGGAGAGTTAGGGCCCCATGAGCCCCTTTCTTTCCATGACTGATTATTGACGAGGCCAGTCTTGTCCAGGTCTGGTGTAGGTAATGTCAGTTGTGATTACACAGCAGTGGTTGCGTTGAATCTAGAGGAGGGCATGTTACAGCTCTTCACCCTATCTCCTGGCTCTTCCTCACTGCCCCTCTTCTACAATTGTTGCCCGAGCCCTAAGGGGGTGGTATAAATGTCTTCTTCAGGGCTGAGCCATCAAGACCTTCATCTTTGAGAATCTGGTAGAATGTCCCTACCCCTTTTATTTTGTCTTTACAAGTTTTTACTTTGGGGTCTCAAGATTTCAAATTTTGCCAAATAACATTTTGTAAACATTTCCAGATTGTGATTACTTGCCTTTAAAATTATGAAAACCAACATATATTAATTGATGTGCTGATTACACAGAGAATAGTAGTGATGTATGGTAAGAACTGATGGTCAATCTGATTTTTTAAAAAAATATTTCTTTCATTTTTAATTATGGTGTATAGATATGTCTCTGTGTGGATATGTACACTTGAGTCCAGGTGCCCATGAAAGTCAAAAGCCTTGATCTGGTGGAGCTGCAATTATAGGAGGTTGTGAGCCACTTGATGTAGGTGCTGGGAACTGAATTTGGGTCCTGTTAGCCTCTGAGCTATCTCTCCAGTCCCTGATATTTTCCCCTCAATTTTAATTAATAACAATAATGAACATATTTAATTTTATTATTATTTGTGTACAATGTGTGCCTGTGGATGCAGGTGTGTGTGTACCATACCATCTATGTAGAGACTGGTTGTAACTCCAGGGAGTCAGTTCTGTCCTTCTACACCATAGGACCCAGGGATCAAACTCAGTTGTCAGGCTCATGTGGTAAGTAAGGGCTTTCACCTCACTGGTCCCTGAACTTTTGTCCAGGTAGGAGTGTTTCTTTCCCGAAGTCTTCAAAGCTGGTTTTAGAACTCTTACGGAAGCTTGACTCACTGTCATTTGAAAATTGTTTTTGCTAGGGTCTGAAACAACTCCGTGAATAAGGGATTTCTTTGACAACAAAACAAAAGCCAACACTTCGTCCTTTTGAATAGATAAGCCTTCATGGAAGAGTGGTAAGATGGGCATGGGGTTAGATCTGTGGGGCAGTTATTAAGCAATGAAGACTGAATCCACCTTCTTTGGGCTCAAATGGAATTGAGATTAAAATCTCTTCAACAATAGATCTCTCCCCATTCTGTGGCCTCCACACCTCCCACTACCCACCATCTGCCGCACACCACTGAAGCAAACACTGTCATTCATTTAGTTAATTATTAAATACTCATTGAACACATATCCCATTATGCACAGAGTCATTACATTCTATCATTCCAAGTAGGAGAGAATCTAAGAGCTTGCATGCAGAAACAACTTGTGTGAAGAAATGAAATCAAAAGAATATGGCCTCTCAAATGAGCGTGAAAATCACCCTTCATAGAAGATGGCGGCTTGTGTTTATTGCATTGTTTCCATAATGGGACTGATGATTTGTGCTGAATAATTCATGCTACTTTGCCCACGTCCCTTGAAAGCACTGGCATTTCTGAGGGACAGCTGGCTGAGGTTATGGTGCAGACTGTTGCCACACACTTGCATGTTGCCAAATGGCCTCTCTGGGAGGTTTAGGGGGAGGGGAGTACCACATTTGAGAGGACTGCCTGTGGAATTAAGCAAGCTCTGGTTCAAATTCCAGCTCCACTCTTTGACCTGGGCAAGTAGTTCTATAAGTCTCTATATCTTCATATGCAAATGAAGGCAAAAATTCATCCTCATTAGGATTTATGTTTCTGTTGTAGGCAAAACTGCATTGAGTTTGTGAAATTTCCTTCTTAAGCAGGGAGGGTGAGCTGGTTTAAAGGGAAAGCCCCCTTCCTGGTTAATGCCTTGGATGTGGCTGAGAAAAATCTAGGAACAGAAGTTGGGGATTAGTGGGCACAGGGAAGAAGACTAGAGTGAGAAGAGGCAGGAGGAACCAGTAAAAAGGAGGGAGTCGGAAACAGTGAGGTTTTGATACTTTATCATTGACTTGACTGGCTTTGAATCACCTGGGAGACACACCCTTGGGTGTGCCTATGGGCGTGTTTCCAGAGACGTTGAACACAGGAGGGAAGGTATACCCTAAATGTGGGCAGCACTCACTTGTGGATTGGAGTCCTGGAATGAATGAAAATAGGAAAAGGAGCGAGCAAGCTGAGAATAAGCATCCGTCTTTCTGCTTCCTGATTGTGTATACAGTGTGACCAGATGCCTCATGCCCTCACCTCCATGCCTTCCCCACCGCAGTGTCCTGTGTCCTTTAAAATCATGAGCCCAAATAGACCTTTTTACTCCTTAAACTGCTTCTCTCAAGTATTTTGTCCCAACCATTAGAGAGCTTATACAGTGGTGGTGGCCTGAGGACATTTAAAAATTGTGGTGGTCCTGGGGCTGGAGAGATGGCTCAGAGGTTAAGAGCACTCGCTGTTCTTCCAGAGGTGCTGAGTTAATTCCCAGCAACCACATGGTGGCTCACAACCATTCATAATGGGATCTGGTACCCTCTTCTGGACTGCAAGCATGCATGTAGACAGAATGCTGTATCCCTAATAAATAAATAAATAAATGAATAAATGAATAAATAAATAAATAAATCTTTAAAAAAAAATTGTGGTGGTCCCCAATTTAGTAAACTTGTCCGGGCTCTCCTCTGGGGAAGGCTGTTTCTCCGGCTCTCAGCATTCTGTAGTTCTTTGTGCAGGTTGAAGCCTGATGAGCTTTCCCGGTCCATGTTAGCATGTCTGCTAATGTTCAGCTCATGTTTAAATCATCGTATTGCGAGAGAGACTCCATGGGTGCAGCTTCTGACATTCCCAGGAGACACCATACAACAGCAAACTTCCTGTTCCTCTGGCTCTTACAATCTGTCTACCACAGCTTTCACAGTGTTCTCTGAGCTGTACGTGAGGGAGTTGTAATGTTAGGATGGGTCTCCACAATTCTGCATTTTTTTCTTGGTTGTGGTTTTCTGTGCTGGTCTCTGTCTGTTGCAAAGAGAAGTTGACTATCCAATATCAAATAGTCATCCCTGAAAACATACATGTAATTAACATTATACAAACTGAACAGGTTGTATTTATGTATTTAGAAATATGTATGTATGTATGTATGTATGTATGTATGTATGTATGTATGTAACAGCAATTAATGAAAAAGGAATCCTTGAATTTGAAAGGGAGCAAGGAGGGGCATATGGGAGAGTTTGAAGGGAAGAAGGGAAGGGGAGAATGATATAACTGTACGATAATCTCGAAGAATACAGGAAATAATCTAAAAAGTTGTCAGTTCTACTCTGATGTGAGCCCTTCTTCATTTTCCAGGTCTTACTAGTCTGCTTTCCACTCCTGTCCCTGGTCCAGCCTTTGGTAAACTCTGTGAAGTTCACTAGTGTTCTGTGACGGGTTTTGTGTGTGTTGTGCAATTGAAGGGGAGATGACCTAGATGTCAAGGACAGAGACCACGGTAATGCGCCAGGAAGCTAGTGAGGTCTTGCGGTTGTCTCCAAGCTGACTAGATTTCAAGGGGACAGGTTTGCACTGACATGTGAATGTCATTAGACAATCTTTATGAGCTTTACTCTGTTCCAGATACTGACATATGAACACTGTCATATGAGTCATATGAGTGTTACTGACATATGAGTGTGAGTTATCTCCTCCCAGTCACTCATTGAGAGTCCAGTTTAATCTTTGCAGCAAGTCCATGGAATATCAGAGTACCATGGTCACCCTCATTTCAAAATGAGGAAGCTGAGCTTGATAGAGGTTATATAACTGGGCCAAGTTCACCCAGGATATATTTATGTGTATGTGCACATGCACACACATATGTCTTTTTTTTTTTTTTTTTTTTTTTTTTTCAAGACAGTAGTTTTGGTACCTGTCCTGGATCTCGCTCTGCAGACCAGGCTGGCCTCAAACTCTCTGAGATCCACCTGGCTCTGCCTCCCGAGTTCTGGGATTAAAGGCGTGTGCCACCACTGCCTGGACCATATACGTCTTTTAAGATATGTCTTATCTCACAACCCATTCTAGTAATTGTTATGGTAGACTAATTCCTACTATGTTATTCTGCTTTATCTGATGAAAATGATGGATATTGATGTCTAATATTCTTGACATACCGTTGATTTTAAGTCATTTTTCCCTAGAAATGAGATGAGGATTATAGTTCAAGCAATTTGTTTGGAGGAACATCTCAGAAAATACACACAGAGAAGAGAAGAGAAGAAAAGAGGTGTGATGGTAAGTCTCATTCGGTAACTTGACTGGCTATCTAGAAATCAGGCGTCATTCTGAGTGCCGTGTGCTTGTGAGGGTGAGGCTGGAGGAGATCAATTTTTGTATGAGCAGACTGATAAAAACAGACTGCCCTTCCCAATGGGATGGGCTTCAGTTAACCCACAGAATACCTGAATATAACAGGAAGGCTAAGAAAGAATTCCCTTTTTCTTCCCCTGACTCACATAGGACATCAGTTTCCTTGCGTTTCCCTCAGACCGGAACAAACATCACTGGCTCTTCTAGGGTCCTTGGAATACAACAGGAATTATACTTTTGTCAATACTGCGTCTGCAGCTCTCCCACTACAAATAGGGGGCTTCTCAGCCTCTATTGTTATGTGAGATAATTTCTTATTCTCTCTCCCCTTCCCCCACCTCCTCCCATCTTCCCTTTCTTTCCTTCCTCTTCCCTCACCCTTTATAGATTCTCCAGTGGGTTCTATTTTTCTGTAAAACCATAATTCAGCAAGGGAAAAGCAAAATAGTGATGTAGTGTTAGTGTTATCAGCTTTGGCCGATCCTTCCTGGAGCTCTAGAGCGCACATTACAGGTCGGTTCTACTTTGAGTCAATTAATGGCTGAGGTCCGCTTCTATGGTTGGGTGGGGACAGTGGGTTAGCTCCCTGGAGAAAGGAGAAGGTGTGATCTATCTGTGGACACAAACAGTGGGGATGGAAGCACTAGATGGGAAAGGGACCTGAATTGGATGCTAATAGCTGCCACTCCAGTGGACAATTAGCAGCCATTATCATCTCCTCTATTTTGATTTTCTTCTCATCTAATAGAACATAAAAGAAATAAATCAGAATGCAGAAAAAAATTGTTGATGGTCTATTCAAAATATAAATTACTTTTCTCCCATCCATGTATTTGCCTTTAAAAAACTTAAGATGTGATAATAAAGTTCTAAAATTATTAAAAATGTAAAAGCAGGACTGGAGAGGTGGCTTAGCGGTTAAGAACATAGACTGCTTTTCCAGAGGACCTGAGTTTGATTCCCAGAACCTTTCTCAGGTGGTTTACAATCTCCTGTAACTCCAGCTCCAGGGAATCTGACACCTTTGGCATCTGTGAAAACCTGCACTCATATGCACCTAACCACACACACCACACATAAAATAATAAATATTCATAAGATAAAAGCAATAATAATACAAAATGTTTCAGTAATACAAAACAATACATCAGGGACAGTCTTTGGCAATCTCGTCATGCCTTTTCTCTTCCCCAGATGTAATCCAGTTACTGTTTAGTATGTAGCCTTTCTTATTTCTTATTCTATTTTCTTATATACACATGGATACTTACATGTATACTTTCAAAGTTAGATTTGAAGTTATCTTCTTTGGCATAGTGACTTGGGCACTTAAGTTTTCACTCAGCAAAATGTCCTGAAGACCTTCTGGCAGCACACACCAGCCTTCCTCATTCTTTTGAATGGTACTGTGTAATTTCCAGCCTATATGTGTCATAATGTGTTCACTTACCTGCCTATTATTGATGTCTAGGTGCCTCCCGTACTTCTCTCACAAACAATGCCATAATGAAGTAGATAGAAATTTGTGTTGAGCATGAAGTTGTGTGGGTAGGGAGATCGGGAGGATCTGGGAGGACTTAGGGGTGGAGAAAAAGTATGACTAAAATATATTGGGCAAAACATTAAAAAAAAGAAATAAAATTCGTGTTCTGCATTTTCCTCTTAACTCTGCATCATTACACAGTTCTAATTATGTTACTATTGATTTATTCTAAAAATTTTGCTTTTATATTTTGAGACAGAGTCTTACTATGTAGCCTAGATTGGTATAGAATTTGTGATCCTCCTGCTTCAGCCTATGAGTGCTGGGATTTCAGGCAATTGTTTTAAACTTGCTTCATAATGGTCTATTGAGTTAACAAATCATCATTTATTTAATCATCTTCCTGCTTCTGATTGCACAGGACATACCACAAATACTTATATTTTTAATATATGTATATATATATACATTATACAAATTATGTATATATATTATACAAATGCTATTTGTATAGAAGTATTTAAAAACATAATAATATGAAGCATATATGATATAAGGTAATATAAAAATTCATTATAATCATAATATATGTATTTTTCCCTACTTATTTTGGAGTATTTTCTCAGGAGTGGGTTTAGTGCATGAACTTTGCAGAGTTTCGTATACTAAGTCATGTACTGCACAGCCTCCTCAGGAAACCCCCACTGCAAAACACAGACATTGTATGATTGCTTTGTTGCCTTAATAGTAAACACAGGTAACCCTACTGAGAGGGGAACTGAATCTTTAGGAACTAGGTCCTGTGGTCAGTGAAGGAGAAGTAGAAACCTGACCATAAAGCTGAGTTCTCATGACCAGACGGGCACTTGACACATGCAAATTCTGGTTGTGCCCAGAGGGGCACAGGTACAGGGTTTCCAGTGCAGAACTTCCTCAAGCAGAATTGACTTAGAGGTGCAGCAACCCAGGTAATGAAAACCAAGAACTGGATAAGAAGAGAATAAAGTGGGCCTGGTCACAGGCACAGCTGTAATTCCAGCTACCCTGGAGCATGACAATCCTCTGTAGCATTCTTGGGCTACAGAGTGAAATTTAAGACCAGGTTGGGGAACTTAGCAAGACCCTGTCTCCAAATAAAAATTTAAAATAGGGTTGTAGTATAGCTCACAGGCAGAGCAGTTCTTAGTGTGTTTGAGGCTATTGGTTCAATGCCCAGTATCAGAAAATCAAGACAAAACAAGTCATAACAATATCTGTAAACATCCACACATCTTACCCTACATCTTAATGATGTGTTATTAATATTATAGCTGTAAAATATTAATGTTAATAGTACTACTGTTAAGGCTTAAGTGCTACTACATACCAGGTCTCTTCTGAGTGCTTTATTTAGCACTTCTTTAATCCTGTAGCAACTCTTGGAGGTGAGTTATTTTTTAAAAACTTTAATCTGATAGCTAAAAAATTAATTGTACATTTTTATGGAGTACCACGTGCTTTCAATATATGCACATGTTTTATATTTGAGTTCAGGGAAAGACGCTTGTCAACACCTAACAGTGACCATGTACTGTGGTGAAACAAGATGGCTGTTTTTGTCCTCATTTTATGGACAAAGTTCTGTTCTGGAACTTTCCTAGGTCTTCCATTGGATAGATGCCAGGCCAGAGAGGTGATCAGCTCTGCCTTTGTCTCCTGACCACAATGCTCAACTGTAGTCTCCTATTCAGTGGTCACTGCATACCTTCTCAGACGGTGGGTTTTTCCACCAAGTAGCCATCATTTAAAAGAATGAGTAATGGTTAAGAGGAACCCAACTCTAATACTGTAGCTGAAGTTCCCACAATGAAAAGGGCCAACAGTTCAACCGTCTTTTAGATAATTCCAACAATGACCCTGAGGGTGTCCATCTCGACAGAGGTGTTCACCGGAGCAAATTGGTGGATCTTAGACTTGAGTTTCAAAGGAAGCCATAAAATTGCTGATGTGACTGTATGTTTTCCACAAGAAATAACTCAGGTATCCAGAGACTTGGTGAAGAGGTTTAAAAGCTAAAAATACCAACCCTGTTTCACTGACCTCACACGGGCAGGAGATTTCTGAGAGAGCCATGTTTTCCCTCATTCCATCCAGGCTGCCCTGGATGGAAACAAGCAGATCCTGGTGCCTTGTTATTTCAAGAAAAGTTGGGGGTGGGTGGCTTAAGGATTCTTAAAAATGAGGAACATGCCCATTTGGGACTCTGAAGCCATGCTTTTGTTTGAATCTGTGTAGGGGGCATGGAGGTCTTTGTTCTTATAGACATGCACTAGGGGAACCTGGAATGTTGAGCACACAGGATTGTTCCTTCAAGGGAAGGAACACAAGACCTGTTTTTGGCACAGATGGCTAGAGCAGGTGTGGTTTTTAGCCTACTGACCTTTGTGCAGCTGGTGTGGCTGAAATCTTTCCTGCTTTAGATCCTCTTCCTGATTATTCTTGTAAACTTGTTTTTCTCAGCCCATAGAACCTATCTAATGGAAGGTTCTGATGTCTGATCTGTAGTTAGCATGCTTTGTTTCTCAAAGAGATGTAGGTATGCTTTGTTGGGCACAAGGGATTGAGTTAATCATCATAAGAATATTTTTTAATCAGATTGTGCTGTTTTAAAATATTCCTAAAATAACTTGGAGTCAGATTCCTGAAGTTTGAATCAACAATGGCTACTAAATCATGTTGTGCTGAATTTCCTTCTTACCTCTCAAAACTCACACTCTGCTGACCTTGAACATCCCAGAGACATTGCTGTGCCTTTGAGAGATTCCAGAATAAGAAAGAAACTGATACTGAAAGCAGCAACCATGTTGCCATTGGTCCAGAAATGCTTGCACAGAGTGCAGGTAGGCTTGAGATATCATTAAAAAAATGTATACATTCACCCTATTTAAATCCTTCCTTCATTTGCATCTTCTATGTACCCAAGGAAAAGATTTATTTCTGAGCAATGAGTGATAACATCTGAAGCTATTAGTAATGCTAGTCTAACACCCTGCAATGCATCTTAGAAGGAGCAATTTAATTAGACATTCTTCCTTCTGTACTTGGAGCCAGCCCAGATATCTCTTTTCTCTCTTCCTATGTGTTTGATTATTCCCCAACTTCAACACATATCCCTTAGAGACTTGGCAACAAGAGTTTTTCTCTTTTACCTTTTGATTCGTTTCTTTTCCTATCTGTATGTCTGTCTGTCTGTCTGTGGTGGTTTCAATGACATCAGCCCCTGCAGGCTTATATATTTGAATGCCTGGTCCCCAGTTGGTGGAACTATTTAGGATGGATTAGGAGGTGTGGCCTTGTTGGAAGAGGTGTATTATTCACCATTTCAAAAGCTCTCTCTCTGCCTCCTACTTGCAGATAAGGATGGAAGCCCTTAGCTACTGTTCCAGCACCATGCCTGCCAGCCTGATGCCATGCTCCCCAACCTTGATGGTCATGGACTCACATTCTGAAACTGTAAGTCTTGATAAACTCTTTCTTCTATAAGTTGTGTTGGTTATGATATCTACACAGAAATAGAAATGTAACCAAGGCATGCGCTCTCTTTTTCTCTCCCTCCGTCCCTCCCTCCCTCTCTCTATTCATCTACCTATTACCATCTTCTATTTATCTGTTTCTATCATCAACCATGTCTCTGCTTCTACTTTTGATTAATATGCTTCCATTATTGCTTCTATCATTGCCACTGCCACCACCACATATTTTTGCTATAGATTAAAGATTTAGCATTCTGCTAAATACATTATGCAGTTCATTGCATTAAAATATGTGTAATGTGATACATTATCATTGTATATATATTTATAGAATACAATGTGCTGTTTTGATATATGTATAACAACACGGACTGACTAAATCGAGCTAATTAACATATCCATCACTTCAAATACTTGTTTTAGGTGGGTGAGAATATTTTAAATCTACTCTTAGCAGCTTTGAAATGTGCAATAGACTATTATTAACTATAGTTGCCATGCTGTAATAGGTATCAGATTCTTCCTAATGGAAACTTGGTTTTCTTTGAGCAACATCTTCCCATTGTCCCCACTTCCTCACACCCTTTCAGCTTCTGGCAACTACCATTCTACTTTCTGCTCTAGGTTAATTTTTTTTAAACAATTTGTAATATAAATGAGATCATGTAGCATTTGTCTTTCTATCCCTGGCTCATTTAATTTTGTCCAATGTCCTGGAGGTTCATCCATGCTAGTTAGAAAGACTGAATAGCACCCCTTTGGGTGTCTAGAACACATTTTCTTCATTCATTAATTGATGGAGACTTGGGTTGACTTAGTATTTTGACTATATGGAAATGAACAGATGGAAAGATAGTCTGTAGTCAGGATCATCAACATTTCCTCTTCCCATGATCACAAACAAGGGAGCTGCCAAAGCCAGAGACCCCAGAACATGTCCTGAGTGGTCTTTGTTCTTTTAGTGGTGCCCATTGGCTTGAGAGAAGCTAGTTCACTGAGCGGCTAGGGCAATTTTGGACCTAGAAGACTCCTTCAAGTATATATCTCTCCTTCCTCCCAGTGTGATCCCTCCTTCTCTCCCAGTGCGTATCTCTTCTTCCCTGCCAGTGTATAGCTTTTCTTCCTTTCTCGTGCATTTTCCCTTCTGGTGTGCACCTTTTGGTATTCACTAGGATTTTTGTTGAAATATTTAGCGGTTCATTAGGCTTTCAAACCATTTTCAAAGAATGGAATTTTGAACAACACCGATCCTTCAAACATATTTCCTCACAGTTCTCTGGGTGTTCTGTGTATTAAGAGAGGGGATTCTGGGTATTTCTTCTTTATTGAAACAGGTATTTCAGCTTTCTAGTAGAGGCAATAGTTCTTTTTTTCCCCCTTTGTCCTAGCAGCTTTATTTACAGGAAAATTCAGATTAGAAGGAATGATTACAGTAAGAACCCATCCCTAACAGTAATACTGATTTTTTTTTTTTTT